TGGGATGGGCAGTCACCTTTCCTGGCCCCTCAAGTTCTGCTCTGTGCCCAGAATTTGCTTTCTGCTCCTCACAAGGGACATGGCTGATTTTGGGGAGCAGCCCCAGCTAACAGCTTCACCTCATTCTGTGCAGCAAATTCTGATGGCCACTGTCCCCCTTACCCAGCAAAGCCAGGGGACATCTTGTGCTCCCTGTGAATGATGGCAATTCCAGGGCATGTGGGAAGCTGGAATACCTGCAGCTCCTCTGCCAGCAAGGAGGGGATGCAAGCTGTGTTCCTGTGAGTGGTGATGGATTTCTGAGTGGCTGAATTTAGGAGTTGCCTGGGCAAGGATATCCTGCTCTAGCGTCAGTTTGTTGCTTAAAAGTCCATGGAGAATGTGGGGTCCCTACCTCTGCCTTCTTCTCTGGGGACAGACCTACCATCAAAGTCCTGAGTGTAGGAAGGCTCTTACCTCTTGAGGGCTCCATCGGTGAGCAGGGTCCCTTTCTTGTTCCTCACCTCCAGTTTCAAAGGTTTACCCTCCTGCCTGCCCTGGCCCTGCCTGCCCCTGGGCTGGGCAGTCTGGAGGGGAGGCAGGTGGGAGTTCCTGGGGTGTCCCGTCCTCCAGCACTGCAGCAAGTGCTGGTATGCCACTCGGAAATCCCTGTTGAGCGTCCCGTAGAGGATGGGGTTCAGGGCTGAGTTGGCATAGCCCAGCCAGAGAACAATGGACATGGGTGTGCCTTTGACCCTGCTGTCCCCCCACACCCCCCGGTAGGTGAACACGGTGAAATAGGGGAACCAGCAGACGATGAACGCTCCCAGCACCACCGCCAGCGTCACGGTGGCTTTGTGCTCCTTCACCATGGGTGGCATGGGCGTGTTGCCCCACGTGTGGTTTATCCTCTTGGCCTGCTCCCTCGCTATCTTGAGTATGCGGTAGTAGGTGATGCACATGATGACCAAAGGGATGTAGAAGGTGAGCAAGGCGTCCACTAACCCATACACGGGGTTCACCGCCAGCGTGCACTCCTTGTTGCAGGTGGGGCCTGTGTTTTGCACTGCTGTCCCGTTGGTGTTCCAGCCCAGGTGGATGGGTAGGAAGGAAACCATCAGTGAAACGGTCCAAATAACAACCAAACCCACGGCCACCCGGGAGGGAGTGACCACCTGGCAGTAGCGGAGCGGGCTGGTGACAGCAAAGTAGCGGTCCAGGCTGATCATGAAGAGGTTGAGGATGGAGGCCGTGCACAACATGACGTCCAGGCTGATGTAGATGTTGCACAAAACGCTGCCAAAGGTCCACTCCTTGGTGAGTTCATAGAAAGCAGAGAATGGCAGCACCAGAAGCCCCAGCAGCAGATCTGTGATGGCCAAGGAGACAATGATGCAGTTTGTCAAGCTCCGGAGCCGGCGGTCGAAGGTGACGGCCAGGCAGACGATGATGTTGCCACAGAGGGTGATCGTGATGAGGATGATGAGGCAGGACCCGACCAGCAGCTGCAGGGGCAAGTCCATCCTATTTTGAGAGCTTGTGTGGTTGTAACATGGATCCATGGTGTCACTGCAAGGATGGAGCAGTCCTGCTCTCATCAGCTCCAAAGCTGCTTGGAGCCTGTACCAGGCAGGCCTAGAGCCCTTCCCAAAGTGACCCTTGTTCTACAGTGACCTTGGAGAACATTGCAGAGTCACTTTACATGTTCAGCCTTGTGTGCTGGGAATGACATGGTCTAGAAGAAATGTGGCACTGCAACTCATTTGTGCCTGTTGGCCCCCTCTGGGAGCTCAGTGCTGGAGCTGATGCCCTGTGGCAGCTGCTGATGGATCTCAACTGCTTCTTTTCCTTTCTTGCCTTCTCCTTTCCTCTGAGTGACCCCTGGGTCAGGTCCTGTGGGCTCTCATGCCCTCTCCATGTCTGGTTGGTGACAGTGGTCAGCAGTGCTCCAGCAGGGACAGAGCTTTGCCACCTCCTGAGGACAACCTGCAAAAGCAAAGTGTCTGGTGAGGCCCTGGCACAGATTTCCCAGAGAAGCTGTGGCTGCCCCATCCCTGGAAGTGTTCAAGAACAGGCTGGATAACACTCTGAGCAATCTGGTCTAGTAAAAGGTGTCCCTGCCCTTGGCAGAGAGGTGGAATGAAATCTGTAAGATCCCTTCCAAGCCATTCTGTGATTCTACAAAAGCATCAAGTCAGAGCTGCAGTGGGCAAAGACCCTTTGAGCTTCCCCTCAAACCCCTTCAGAAACAGGGTGTCTGTACCTCCCTGGCTGTTCCAGCCCACTTAAACCCAAATTGGAAAGTCCTTTGGCAGGCAGGCACCTGAGTACCTGCCAGCTGGGCTCTCCCAGCCCTAGGGATACCCACGCAATGTAGGGATGCTGAGAGAAGGGCAGGGATTTTAAAACCGTCATGTTTCTATAGGCTTACAATAAAAGTGAGAACGAGGAGGATATGAGGACACAATTTTCCTGAGAAAGCAGTTCTTATGCAATCCAGCAAAATTAGTCACGACGACGTAATTTCTGTATCTTGGCTGTGGCTGCCAATCTCATTAAACTTTGCCCTTGTATCTGTGCTTTGCAGCAGCCCAGTGACTGGGATTGGTCCCTGCCATCACAAATCACAGCAGCTCCTGTCGCCTCTATAGGAAATCCCCACTCTGCTCTGGGTCCTGGAAGGGAAGAAGAATATCCCTCACAGACCTACTTTTTCTGGCTGTTTTCTGTCTGGATACAAATAACAAAAAGCCACACTTTGCAAGGGAAGAAACAACAGAGAAAACCACTCTAACTTAAAAATGAGCTGCTGATTATGGTGATCTCCAAAACCCTGCCACTACTAGATTCAAAGGAACATTGGGTCCTTGATTGGAAGCAATATCCATGTTGGGAAGATACCTAAAGGGAAATTGAGGCAGTGCAGGGACAAGAAAGCGGGCTGGGAATGGGCTGAGGAGCTGGACTGACTTGCTGACCCTCATGGATCTGTGTCCAAGCTGTGGTCTCCCACCATGAGCTCCCCAGGTGAGATGAGGGGTCTCCCCATCCTCCTCAATGTGTTGGTGTGGGAGAGCTGTGCTGGTCCCCATGGGTGATGCACAACCCAGCTCTGCAGACTCTCTGCACCCCATGGAGCAGCAGTGAAGCCTCCCTCACGGTGCTCAGGATTGTGCAGGAAGGTAGAGCTGATTCTCTGCAGAGTGCAACAGGCTGCAGAGATGGAGCAATCAGAAGAAACTCCAGGAAAGGAAAAGGTCCAGGCTTGTCAAAAGTGAGATTTTAAACTCCCCCTGCAACAAGAAGATAACACTGTGGTGCAGGTTGAAATACCCTTCAGATGATTTAAGTCTTTGACTCAAGTCTGAAGGCATGGGTACCATGGGAGGGAGTATGCCAGGGAGACTGCATGAGTAAACAACCACTGATTGCCAGGAGCCATACAGGGGAGAGATTGGGACTGGACCACTGAGATTAGAGGCGATTCCCACAGCCCTGCTGCTTCTAAAGGCATGGAAAGCAAACAGCAAGCCATGAACCAGCCCATGGGAAGCCTTTTGCTGAGCAGAGCAAACTCATTGCCAGACAGGAAGCCCTCTGAGTTTGGGTGCTGGGATTGAGGCTGTTGGGAGAGGGATGCGATGCTTTCAGCCACGGCAGCAGCGTGTGGAGCTGCTGTTCCTCACCTCCAGCTGCAGCACAGGCTCTTGCCATGGAAAGCTCTTTGTTCACTCACAAAGGGAGTGTGGAACAAGCTGAATGCTGCCTGCCCACTGACAGCAGCGAGGAGAACAGGTTGTTCCCACAGAAGGATATTTCCAAGTGAAAGGGATGGGATGTGTTTTCATTGCTCCCAACATGTGGAAATGGCAGATTAAATTATAGTGGGAGTAGCACACTTAGAAAATGCTGTGGGTGGATGGCAGCCTCCTACGCGGCTGCTCCACCACACACCAACACCCTGCTCCTGCCCCTGGCTCTTGCTGCTCACCAGGGCTCTGCTGGTGGGACCCAGCTCTGAGCACATCGGCCCATTCAGCTTCTGCCACAGTGCCAGGCAAGCTCCTGGTTCAGCCCTGCACTGCAGATGTGCCCAGAAGGAGTTTTGCTTCTTACTGCATTTTCAGATTAGCTCAGGGCAAGGAATGGGCACTTGCATGGGGACAGAAGTGTCCCCATCCCTGCAGAGGAGCTCAGGTAGTGCTGGGATCTCTGTAGCTGCAAGGCTCAGCTGCCTGCAAACCCTTGGGATGTTCCTCCGTGGAATGGGGCAGGACCTGCCTCCTGTCAGCTGGGATGTGTGATGCTGCAACCCTAACTGTGGTGGAGGTGGGGCAGAATTTCCCATACCCCTCAGCCAAATTATCTCTTGGAAACATTCCCCGAGGAGAGCACGGCCTCTGGACATGGCTTTGCAGGAGCAGCAGACTGGAGGACTGGTATAGAGGGGGGGCTGTCAGCTCACTACCATCAGGACACAAATCCTGGGTTGATGCGTCCAGCTCAGAGCTCTCTCCTGGAGCATTGGCTCTCTGTGAATCCACATGTGCCCTGGCTTTCTGCCCAGGTCACTTGCAGCCACCTTCAATACCTGTGTCCTCTGCTCCCGTTGTG